CAAAAAGAGTATTAATGTAGGTATTTACTCTGATTCGACAGTATAGCTTACCTGCACACGTATCCCCAGTAAAACCAACAGCACAGGTGCAAGTAAAGGAGCTGACTCCATCAACGCAATCTCCTCCATTCATACAAGGACTGCTGGAACATTCGTCGATCTCTGTGCAAATGAAGTTCCAAAGATAGAGAGTGCGATGAAAGTGACAAGAAAACAATTCCCATTTTGACAGATTTTTTTTTGTTTGGGGGATGACAGGAACATGAAATTAAAAAACTGATATGTTGTATTCTAAATAATGACAGCTGAGGATTAATTTCACTTCAGATAGAAAAGAAATAGCAATTTTAGCAAATGAGGTAAATTAACTCAATGTCTCGTTTAATATTCGTATTTATTTCAGAATTGTTGCCTGAGATAGAAAATATTTTCAGGTTGAAATAAAAATTCGAAATAAACGTGCATGTGTCCCTGCCAGAAAAAAGGGACGGGAAAGCTTGAAATCTTTATTTGGGATGAAAAAACAATGTCCTATACAAGGTTCAAGTTTACAGACACCTAAAGGACAGGAGTTCACTGGTTAGGATTGGGATGCAAAGATTTTCCTCTCCAAATACTAGATATTATGTCTAATTTCGTCCTTGTGTACCTTTTATTTATATCTTTCGAAGAGCAAGGAGGCATTGCATTACTCAAAAAGAGTATTAATGTAGGTATTTACTCTGATTCGACAGTATAGCTTACCTGCACACGTATCCCCAGTAAAACCAACAGCACAGGTGCAAGTAAAGGAGCTGACTCCATCAACGCAATCTCCTCCATTCATACAAGGACTGCTGGAACATTCGTCGATCTCTGTGCAAATGAAGTTCCAAAGATAGAGAGTGCGATGAAAGTGACAAGAAAACAATTCCCATTTTGACAGATTTTTTTGTTTTGTTTGGGGGATGACAGGAACATGAAATTAAAAAACTGATATGTTGTATTCTAAATAATGACAGCTGAGGATTAATTTCACTTCAGATAGAAAAGAAATAGCAATTTTAGCAAATGAGGTAAATTAACTCAATGTCTCGTTTAATATTCGTATTTATTTCAGAATTGTTGCCTGAGATAGAAAATATTTTCAGGTTGAAATAAAAATTCGAAATAAACGTGCATGTGTCCCTGCCAGAAAAAAGGGACGGGAAAGCTTGAAATCTTTCATTTGGGATGAAAAAACAATGTCCTATACAAGGTTCAAGTTTACAGACACCTAAAGGACAGGAGTTCACTGGTTAGGATTGGGATGCAAAGATTTTCCTCTCCAAATACTAGATATTATGTCTAATTTCGTCCTTGTGTACCTTTTATTTATATCTTTCGAAGAGCAAGGAGGCATTGCATTACTCAAAAAGAGTATTAATGTAGGTATTTACTCTGATTCGACAGTATAGCTTACCTGCACACGTATCCCCAGTAAAACCAACAGCACAGGTGCAAGTAAAGGAGCTGACTCCATCAACGCAATCTCCTCCATTCATACAAGGACTGCTGGAACATTCGTCGATCTCTGTGCAAATGAAGTTCCAAAGATAGAGAGTGCGATGAAAGTGACAAGAAAACAATTCCCATTTTGACAGATTTTTTTGTTTTGTTTGGGGGATGACAGGAACATGAAATTAAAAAACTGATATGTTGTATTCTAAATAATGACAGCTGAGGATTAATTTCACTTCAGATAGAAAAGAAATAGCAATTTTAGCAAATGAGGTAAATTAACTCAATGTCTCGTTTAATATTCGTATTTATTTCAGAATTGTTGCCTGAGATAGAAAATATTTTCAGGTTGAAATAAAAATTCGAAATAAACGTGCATGTGTCCCTGCCAGAAAAAAGGGACGGGAAAGCTTGAAATCTTTTATTTGGGATGAAAAAACAATGTCCTATACAAGGTTCAAGTTTACAGACACCTAAAGGACAGGAGTTCACTGGTTAGGATTGGGATGCAAAGATTTTCCTCTCCAAATACTAGATATTATGTCTAATTTCGTCCTTGTGTACCTTTTATTTATATCTTTCGAAGAGCAAGGAGGCATTGCATTACTCAAAAAGAGTATTAATGTAGGTATTTACTCTGATTCGACAGTATAGCTTACCTGCACACGTATCCCCAGTAAAACCAACAGCACAGGTGCAAGTAAAGGAGCTGACTCCATCAACGCAATCTCCTCCATTCATACAAGGACTGCTGGAACATTCGTCGATCTCTGTGCAAATGAAGTTCCAAAGATAGAGAGTGCGATGAAAGTGACAAGAAAACAATTCCCATTTTGACAGATTTTTTTGTTTTGTTTGGGGGATGACAGGAACATGAAATAAAAAAACTGAATATGTTGTATTCTAAATAATGACAGCTGAGGATTAATTTCACTTCAGATAGAAAAGAAATAGCAATTTTAGCAAATGAGGTAAATTAACTCAATGTCTCGTTTAATATTCGTATTTATTTCAGAATTGTTGCCTGAGATAGAAAATATTTTCAGGTTGAAATAAAAATTCGAAATAAACGTGCATGTGTCCCTGCCAGAAAAAAGGGACGGGAAAGCTTGAAATCTTTTATTTGGGATGAAAAAACAATGTCCTATACAAGGTTCAAGTTTACAGACACCTAAAGGACAGGAGTTCACTGGTTAGGATTGGGATGCAAAGATTTTCCTCTCCAAATACTAGATATTATGTCTAATTTCGTCCTTGTGTACCTTTTATTTATATCTTTCGAAGAGCAAGGAGGCATTGCATTACTCAAAAAGAGTATTAATGTAGGTATTTACTCTGATTCGACAGTATAGCTTACCTGCACACGTATCCCCAGTAAAACCAACAGCACAGGTGCAAGTAAAGGAGCTGACTCCATCAACGCAATCTCCTCCATTCATACAAGGACTGCTGGAACATTCGTCGATCTCTGTGCAAATGAAGTTCCAAAGATAGAGAGTGCGATGAAAGTGACAAGAAAACAATTCCCATTTTGACAGATTTTTTTGTTTTGTTTGGGGGATGACAGGAACATGAAATTAAAAAACTGATATGTTGTATTCTAAATAATGACAGCTGAGGATTAATTTCACTTCAGATAGAAAAGAAATAGCAATTTTAGCAAATGAGGTAAATTAACTCAATGTCTCGTTTAATATTCGTATTTATTTCAGAATTGTTGCCTGAGATAGAAAATATTTTCAGGTTGAAATAAAAATTCGAAATAAACGTGCATGTGTCCCTGCCAGAAAAAAGGGACGGGAAAGCTTGAAATCTTTCATTTGGGATGAAAAAACAATGTCCTATACAAGGTTCAAGTTTACAGACACCTAAAGGACAGGAGTTCACTGGTTAGGATTGGGATGCAAAGATTTTCCTCTCCAAATACTAGATATTATGTCTAATTTCGTCCTTGTGTACCTTTTATTTTATATCTTTCGAAGAGCAAGGAGGCATTGCATTACTCAAAAAGAGTATTAATGTAGGTATTTACTCTGATTCGACAGTATAGCTTACCTGCACACGTATCCCCAGTAAAACCAACAGCACAGGTGCAAGTAAAGGAGCTGACTCCATCAACGCAATCTCCTCCATTCATACAAGGACTGCTGGAACATTCGTCGATCTCTGTGCAAATGAAGTTCCAAAGATAGAGAGTGCGATGAAAGTGACAAGAAAACAATTCCCATTTTGACAGATTTTTGTTTTGTTTGGGGGATGACAGGAACATGAAATTAAAAAACTGATATGTTGTATTCTAAATAATGACAGCTGAGGATTAATTTCACTTCAGATAGAAAAAAATTGCAATTTTAGCAAATGAGGTAAATTAACTCAATGTCTCGTTTAATATTCGTATTTATTTCAGAATTGTTGCCTGAGATAGAAAATATTTTCAGGTTGAAATAAAAATTCGAAATAAACGTGCATGTGTCCCTGCCAGAAAAAAGGGACGGGAAAGCTTGAAATCTTTTATTTGGGATGAAAAAACAATGTCCTATACAAGGTTCAAGTTTACAGACACCTAAAGGACAGGAGTTCACTGGTTAGGATTGGGATGCAAAGATTTTCCTCTCCAATTACTAGATATTATGTCTAATTTCGTCCTTGTGTACCTTTTATTTATATCTTTCGAAGAGCAAGGAGGCATTACTCAAAAAGAGTATTAATGTAGGTATTTACTCTGATTCGACAGTATAGCTTACCTGCACACGTATCCCCAGTAAAACCAACAGCACAGGTGCAAGTAAAGGAGCTGACTCCTTCAACACAATCTCCTCCATTCATACAAGGACTGCTGGAACATTCGTCGATCTCTGTGCAAATAAGTTCCAAAGATAGAGAGTGCGATGAAAGTGACAAAAAAACAATTCCCATTTTGACAGATTTTTTTGTTTTGTTTGGGGGATGACAGGAACATGAAATTAAAAAACTGATATTTTGTATTCTAAATAATGACAGCTGAGGATTAATTTCACTTCAGATAGAAAAAAATTGCAATTTTAGCAAATGAGGTAAATTAACTCAATGTCTCGTTTAATATTCGTATTTATTTCAGAATTGTTGCCTGAGATAGAAAATATTTTCAGGTTGAAATAAAAATTCGAAATAAACGTGCATGTGTCCCTGCCAGAAAAAAGGGACAGGAAAGCTTGAAATCTTTCATTTGGGATGAAAAAACAATGTCCTATACAAGGTTCAAGTTTACAGACACCTTAAGGACAGGAGTTCACTGGTTAGGATTGGGATGCAAAGATTTTCCTCTCCAAATACTAGATATTATGTCTAATTTCGTCCTTGTGTACCTTTTATTTATATCTTTCGAAGAGCAAGGAGGCATTGCATTATCTCAAAAAGAGTATTAATGTAGGTATTTACTCTGATTCGACAGTATAGCTTACCTGCACACGTATCCCCAGTAAAACCAACAGCACAGGTGCAAGTAAAGGAGCTGACTCCATCAACGCAATCTCCTCCATTCATACAAGGACTGCTGGAACATTCGTCGATCTCTGTGCAAATGAAGTTCCAAAGATAGAGAGTGCGATGAAAGTGACAAGAAAACAATTCCCATTTTGACAGATTTTTTTGTTTTGTTTGGGGGATGACAGGAACATGAAATTAAAAAACTGATATGTTGTATTCTAAATAATGACAGCTGAGGATTAATTTCACTTCAGATAGAAAAAAATTGCAATTTTAGCAAATGAGGTAAATTAACTCAATGTCTCGTTTAATATTCGTATTTATTTCAGAATTGTTGCCTGAGATAGAAAATATTTTCAGGTTGAAATAAAAATTCGAAATAAACGTGCATGTGTCCCTGCCAGAAAAAAGGGACGGGAAAGCTTGAAATCTTTCATTTGGGATGAAAAAACAATGTCCTATACAAGGTTCAAGTTTACAGACACCTAAAGGACAGGAGTTCACTGGTTAGGATTGGGATGCAAAGATTTTCCTCTCCAATTACTAGATATTATGTCTAATTTCGTCCTTGTGTACCTTTTATTTATATCTTTCGAAGAGCAAGGAGGCATTGCATTACTCAAAAAGAGTATTAATGTAGGTATTTACTCTGATTCGACAGTATAGCTTACCTGCACACGTATCCCCAGTAAAACCAACAGCACAGGTGCAAGTAAAGGAGCTGACTCCTTCAACACAATCTCCTCCATTCATACAAGGACTGCTGGAACATTCGTCGATCTCTGTGCAAATGAAGTTCCAAAGATAGAGAGTGCGATGAAAGTGACAAAAAAACAATTCCCATTTTGACAGATTTTTTTGTTTTGTTTGGGGGATGACAGGAACATGAAATTAAAAAACTGATTTTTTGTATTCTAAATAATGACAGCTGAGGATTAATTTCACTTCAGATAGAAAAAAAATTGCAATTTTAGCAAATGAGGTAAATTAACTCAATGTCTCGTTTAATATTCGTATTTATTTCAGAATTGTTGCCTGAGATAGAAAATATTTTCAGGTTGAAATAAAAATTCGAAATAAACGTGCATGTGTCCCTGCCAGAAAAAAGGGACAGGAAAGCTTGAAATCTTTCATTTGGGATGAAAAAACAATGTCCTATACAAGGTTCAAGTTTACAGACACCTAAGGACAGGAGTTCACTGGTTAGGATTGGGATGCAAAGATTTTCCTCTCCAAATACTAGATATTATGTCTAATTTCGTCCTTGTGTACCTTTTATTTATATCTTTCGAAGAGCAAGGAGGCATTGCATTACTCAAAAAGAGTATTAATGTAGGTATTTACTCTGATTCGACAGTATAGCTTACCTGCACACGTATCCCCAGTAAAACCAACAGCACAGGTGCAAGTAAAGGAGCTGACTCCATCACGCAATCTCCTCCATTCATACAAGGACTGCTGGAACATTCGTCGATCTCTGTGCAAATGAAGTTCCAAAGATAGAGAGTGCGATGAAAGTGACAAGAAAACAATTCCCATTTTGACAGATTTTTTGTTTTGTTTGGGGGATGACAGGAACATGAAATTAAAAAACTGATATTTGTATTCTAAATAATGACAGCTGAGGATTAATTTCACTTCAGATAGAAAAGAAATAGCAATTTTAGCAAATGAGGTAAATTAACTCAATGTCTCGTTTAATATTCGTATTTATTTCAGAATTGTTGCCTGAGATAGAAAATATTTTCAGGTTGAAATAAAAATTCGAAATAAACGTGCATGTGTCCCTGCCAGAAAAAAGGGACGGGAAAGCTTGAAATCTTTCATTTGGGATGAAAAAAACAATGTCCTATACAAGGTTCAAGTTTACAGACACCTAAAGGACAGGAGTTCACTGGTTAGGATTGGGATGCAAAGATTTTCCTCTCCAAATACTAGATATTATGTCTAATTTCGTCCTTGTGTACCTTTTATTTATATCTTTCGAAGAGCAAGGAGGCATTGCATTACTCAAAAAGAGTATTAATGTAGGTATTTACTCTGATTCGACAGTATAGCTTACCTGCACACGTATCCCCAGTAAAACCAACAGCACAGGTGCAAGTAAAGGAGCTGACTCCATCAACGCAATCTCCTCCATTCATACAAGGACTGCTGGAACATTCGTCGATCTCTGTGCAAATGAAGTTCCAAAGATAGAGAGTGCGATGAAAGTGACAAGAAAACAATTCCCATTTTGACAGATTTTTTTGTTTTGTTTGGGGGATGACAGGAACATGAAATTAAAAAACTGATATGTTGTATTCTAAATAATGACAGCTGAGGATTAATTTCACTTCAGATAGAAAAGAAATAGCAATTTTAGCAAATGAGGTAAATTAACTCAATGTCTCGTTTAATATTCGTATTTATTTCAGAATTGTTGCCTGAGATAGAAAATATTTTCAGGTTGAAATAAAAATTCGAAATAAACGTGCATGTGTCCCTGCCAGAAAAAAGGGACGGGAAAGCTTGAAATCTTTCATTTGGGATGAAAAAACAATGTCCTATACAAGGTTCAAGTTTACAGACACCTAAAGGACAGGAGTTCACTGGTTAGGATTGGGATGCAAAGATTTTCCTCTCCAATACTAGATATTATGTCTAATTTCGTTGTGTACCTTTTATTTATATCTTTCGAAGAGCAAGGAGGCATTGCATTACTCAAAAAGAGTATTAATGTAGGTATTTACTCTGATTCGACAGTATAGCTTACCTGCACACGTATCCCCAGTAAAACCAACAGCACAGGTGCAAGTAAAGGAGCTGACTCCTTCAACACAATCTCCTCCATTCATACAAGGACTGCTGGAACATTCGTCGATCTCTGTGCAAATGAAGTTCCAAAGATAGAGAGTGCGATGAAAGTGACAAAAAAACAATTCCCATTTTGACAGATTTTTTTGTTTTGTTTGGGGGATGACAGGAACATGAAATTAAAAAACTGATTTTTTGTATTCTAAATAATGACAGCTGAGGATTAATTTCACTTCAGATAGAAAAAAAAATTGCAATTTTAGCAAATGAGGTAAATTAACTCAATGTCTCGTTTAATATTCGTATTTATTTCAGAATTGTTGCCTGAGATAGAAAATATTTTCAGGTTGAAATAAAAATTCGAAATAAACGTGCATGTGTCCCTGCCAGAAAAAAGGGACAGGAAAGCTTGAAATCTTTCATTTGGGATGAAAAAACAATGTCCTATACAAGGTTCAAGTTTACAGACACCTTAAGGACAGGAGTTCACTGATTAGGATTGGGATGCAAAGATTTTCCTCTCCAAATACTAGATATTATGTCTAATTTCGTCCTTGTGTACCTTTTATTTATATCTTTCGAAGAGCAAGGAGGCATTGCATTACTCAAAAAGAGTATTAATGTAGGTATTTACTCTGATTCGACAGTATAGCTTACCTGCACACGTATCCCCAGTAAAACCAACAGCACAGGTGCAAGTAAAGGAGCTGACTCCATCAACGCAATCTCCTCCATTCATACAAGGACTGCTGGAACATTCGTCGATCTCTGTGCAAATGAAGTTCCAAAGATAGAGAGTGCGATGAAAGTGACAAGAAAACAATTCCCATTTTGACAGATTTTTTTGTTTTGTTTGGGGGATGACAGGAACATGAAATTAAAAAACTGATATTTTGTATTCTAAATAATGACAGCTGAGGATTAATTTCACTTCAGATAGAAAAGAAATAGCAATTTTAGCAAATGAGGTAAATTAACTCAATGTCTCGTTTAATATTCGTATTTATTTCAGAATTGTTGCCTGAGATAGAAAATATTTTCAGGTTGAAATAAAAATTCGAAATAAACGTGCATGTGTCCCTGCCAGAAAAAAGGGACAGGAAAGCTTGAAATCTTTCATTTGGGATGAAAAAACAATGTCCTATACAAGGTTCAAGTTTACAGACACCTAAAGGACAGGAGTTCACTGGTTAGGATTGGGATGCAAAGATTTTCCTCTCCAATTACTAGATATTATGTCTAATTTCGTCCTTGTGTACCTTTATTTATATCTTTCGAAGAGCAAGGAGGCATTGCATTACTCAAAAAGAGTATTAATGTAGGTATTTACTCTGATTCGACAGTATAGCTTACCTGCACACGTATCCCCAGTAAAACCAACAGCACAGGTGCAAGTAAAGGAGCTGACTCCATCAACACAATCTCCTCCATTCATACAAGGACTGCTGGAACATTCGTCGATCTCTGTGCAAATGAAGTTCCAAAGATAGAGAGTGCGATGAAAGTGACAAAAAAACAATTCCCATTTTGACAGATTTTTTTGTTTTGTTTGGGGGATGACAGGAACATGAAATTAAAAAACTGATTTTTGTATTCTAAATAATGACAGCTGAGGATTAATTTCACTTCAGATAGAAAAAATTGAACAATTTTAGCAAATGAGGTAAATTAACTCAATGTCTCGTTTAATATTCGTATTTATTTCAGAATTGTTGCCTGAGATAGAAAATATTTTCAGGTTGAAATAAAAATTCGAAATAAACGTGCATGTGTCCCTGCCAGAAAAAAGGGACAGGAAAGCTTGAAATCTTTCATTTGGGATGAAAAAACAATGTCCTATACAAGGTTCAAGTTTACAGACACTTAAGGACAGGAGTTCACTGGTTAGGATTGGGATGCAAAGATTTTCCTCTCAAAATACTAGATATTATGTCTAATTTCGTCCTTGTGTACCTTTTATTTATATCTTTCGAAGAGCAAGGAGGCATTGCATTACTCAAAAAGAGTATTAATGTAGGTATTTACTCTGATTCGACAGTATAGCTTACCTGCACACGTATCCCCAGTAAAACCAACAGCACAGGTGCAAGTAAAGGAGCTGACTCCATCAACGCAATCTCCTCCATTCATACAAGGACTGCTGGAACATTCGTCGATCTCTGTGCAAATGAAGTTCCAAAGATAGAGAGTGCGATGAAAGTGACAAGAAAACAATTCCCATTTTGACAGATTTTTTTGTTTTGTTTGGGGGATGACAGGAACATGAAATTAAAAAACTGATATTTGTATTCTAAATAATGACAGCTGAGGATTAATTTCACTTCAGATAGAAAAGAAATAGCAATTTTAGCAAATGAGGTAAATTAACTCAATGTCTCGTTTAATATTCGTATTTATTTCAGAATTGTTGCCTGAGATAGAAAATATTTTCAGGTTGAAATAAAAATTCGAAATAAACGTGCATGTGTCCCTGCCAGAAAAAAGGGACGGGAAAGCTTGAAATCTTTCATTTGGGATGAAAAAACAATGTCCTATACAAGGTTCAAGTTTACAGACACCTAAAGGACAGGAGTTCACTGGTTAGGATTGGGATGCAAAGATTTTCCTCTCCAAATACTAGATATTATGTCTAATTTCGTCCTTGTGTACCTTTTATTTATATCTTTCGAAGAGCAAGGAGGCATTGCATTACTCAAAAAGAGTATTAATGTAGGTATTTACTCTGATTCGACAGTATAGCTTACCTGCACACGTATCCCCAGTAAAACCAACAGCACAGGTGCAAGTAAAGGAGCTGACTCCATCAACGCAATCTCCTCCATTCATACAAGGACTGCTGGAACATTCGTCGATCTCTGTGCAAATGAAGTTCCAAAGATAGAGAGTGCGATGAAAGTGACAAGAAAAACAATTCCCATTTTGACAGATTTTTTTGTTTTGTTTGGGGGATGACAGGAACATGAAATTAAAAAACTGATATTTTGTATTCTAAATAATGACAGCTGAGGATTAATTTCACTTCAGATAGAAAAGAAATAGCAATTTTAGCAAATGAGGTAAATTAACTCAATGTCTCGTTTAATATTCGTATTTATTTCAGAATTGTTGCCTGAGATAGAAAATATTTTCAGGTTGAAATAAAAATTCGAAATAAACGTGCATGTGTCCCTGCCAGAAAAAAGGGACAGGAAAGCTTGAAATCTTTCATTTGGGATGAAAAAACAATGTCCTATACAAGGTTCAAGTTTACAGACACCTAAAGGACAGGAGTTCACTGGTTAGGATTGGGATGCAAAGATTTTCCTCTCCAATTACTAGATATTATGTCTAATTTCGTCCTTGTGTACCTTTTTTTATATCTTTCGAAGAGCAAGGAGGCATTGCATTACTCAAAAAGAGTATTAATGTAGGTATTTACTCTGATTCGACAGTATAGCTTACCTGCACACGTATCCCCAGTAAAACCAACAGCACAGGTGCAAGTAAAGGAGCTGACTCCATCAACGCAATCTCCTCCATTCATACAAGGACTGCTGGAACATTCGTCGATCTCTGTGCAAATGAAGTTCCAAAGATAGAGAGTGCGATGAAAGTGACAAAAAAACAATTCCCATTTTGACAGATTTTTTTGTT